AGTCTATGAAAATTGAAATACGTCAAAGGTATCAAATCTCGTTAAACTCGATAACTTTTTTCTAATGGTTTTATTCGACTGATAAACAAGCAGAAACAAATTTATGCATTCTTTTTGAAAGCTATTGTTTGATTGTTGAGAAGCGAGTTTGTATTCAGACTTTGCTATCGTATCGAACAATCAAATAATGCTTGTAGAAAAACTATACATAAATTTTTTTTAAGCATCTGACTAGTAAAATCTTGAAAAAATATCGAGTCTGTTGGTACTTAATCATTTTATGATGTATTTTTTTTGACTCTATAATTTTTTTTTAACTAGTAAAATATATTTCATTGAATAATTATCTTACTTGAATAATATTTAATAATATTGTAAAATTAATATTAATTTTCATTCGATTTCTCTTATATTCCATTCCAATTAAATACTAATTATATATGTTAATATTTTGTTCTTTATAACAATATTGTCATCTAATACGTACTCATTTTTATTAATATTAAAATGTTTCCGAATTTGGTATAGTATTAATGCATATTTTCATTTTAATAGTTGTATTGAATAATAAATCAAGTAATGGACTATTAATCATATGTTGATGATGAAAATAATAATAATGAAGAAATCTGACGATGTTGTTGTTTAATTATTAGTTAAATTAATTGTACACATGGATTTATCAACATTATTCATTAAACATAAAATTCTCCAAAACACTAAAAACATTATTATATATACATTTTTTAATCTTTTTTCTTTATTGATTAATACATACTTGTACATGAATAACAAATTGTTGATCTTGATGTCGATATAAATAAATTTTTATTCAAAAGAAGAATATATCTTGTTTCATTCTTTTCTGTTGTAATAAATCCACCTAACAAAGAAAGATTTTTTCAAACTTCTGTAATGGATTATTTTGATCTAAAATTTTGTTGATATTTAGATATGTTCATCCAAAAAGAATATTATTGTAAAAATTTAAGTGTTTAAAAACTTCCACTGTTTTGTTTTTTTCGACAGTCTATGAAATTGAATCAACAGTTTTTAACATTAAGTATGTTAACGAAAAAAGCAATTGTTTTAACTAAAACATAAATGTTATTATTGATTATCATTAATAAAAATAAACAAAACAATTTCATTTTCATTCCATATGAGATACAATCTAAAAAACTTCATAAATAAATCATTATATATGTTAATGTTAACAGAGAGAAAGGAAAGAAAAAAGAAATATATGTGAAGAGAGGAATTTTCTTTTTCTTTTTTGTCTTTCTCCCGTCCATAAATCATTGTTCATGTTGTTATCATTGACAATCAATGATCAACATGTACAATTAAATATGTATATCATTTTCGACGAGAGAAAAAAATGATTTTTCTAGGGTGTATATACGAATGATTTTTTATGTAAAATCATTCAAATTTTTGAATCAAATAATAATCATTTTTCTTTTTCTGTTTTAGGTTGGCCTCGATGATACAAAATTAATCAAATCAAGATCAAGCCATACAATAAAAATAAATGTAGGTATTAGTTTTACTTTTTTTTTATTTTACGATCATAAGGATGGTGAAGTAAGACCTCTTTTGATCTTTTGATCTTTTTATTATTTTTATTTTATTTTAGGGAATAAGCAATGAAGACAAAGATAACATTAGGGTAAGTCATCGCATACTATTTCATTAAATAACATTGATTAAATTATTTTTTCTGTTCCTTTCAGCTATCAATATCATCGTGTCATCAACATCAGACACGGTAAGTCTTTTTTTTTTTTTGAGATGAGAATAGATAGTGAGATTGAGGGGTTAGAGTGAGACTAAGAAAAGTGAGGGTTAGTGAGAGATGAGGGTGAGTTCTGTTTGTTGAGGGTTAGGGTTTCGTCTCTTATGAAGGACTTCCGAGTAGTCCCTAAAAACCCGGCCAGGAACTGTCTTGGTGTCCGTGGCACACGACCAGGCTTATTCAGACTCATTGACATATCTCTCGCTGGGAGGGTATGAATGATATGAGTCTGTCCTGTGCGTGCATGAGCGTTACGCTCGCCACGACTTCACCAGGATGGTTCCTGGTCGTGCGCGCGCGAATAGAATAAGTCATTCATTGCATCAATTCAATGCGATTTATTTGAAACGAAAGGAAAGAAAAAAAATAATCCATCGTCTTGAGTCTATTCGATTGAAAATCGTTGAACACGATGATTCCCATAATCGACGACATAGAGATTGCCATGTCGATCGAAGGACAAACCAATGGGAGACTTGAACTGATTTGCTCCTTCTCCGTAACCATTTCCACCCACAATGACAGTACCCTGTTTCGCTCCTTTTGGCCAACGCATCACTCGATGATTCTCCGAGTCTGCCACATAGATGGTACCCAATGTGTCGACGAACAGCCCATTAAGATACGACAATTGTGTCAGTGCATTTCCATTGCCTTGACCTCCAGCTACGACAATTCCTTCTTTTGCACCTTTATTCCATTTCATTACACGATGATTGTCTGACACGTAAACAGCCTGTTGTCGATCGACAAAGAGGTACCTTGGATAGTTGAGTTGATTGAGATCAGTACCTTTGCCATTGCCACCAGCTACAAGAGTTCCATTCTTGTCTCCTATTTGATATCGTCTTACTTCATGTTTGTCGGTGTCAGAGATGTATAGATATCTCTGATCATCGGTAGCCAATCCTCGACAACCGATGTTGTCCATGAGGATTTCTCCTTGAGTTGTACCACTACGACGAGACCATCGTACGACTCGTCGATTCAACGAATCACAAATAATGAGACTATCCGTCTCTTTGTCAATCAACATATCGGTTGGAAAATTCAATTGATCCAATCGATTTCCTTGGCCATTGCCACCAGCTACCACTTGTCCATTCGTATCACCCATCTTCCATTGGATGATACGCTCATTGTTCCAGTCAGCGATGACTATCGTTTGATCATCATCAACGAAGAGACCGAAAGGGTTGTAGAGTTGATTGGTGGCACTGCCGTATCCATGACCTCCAGCAACAGTCACCCCATTCGGTGCCCATCGGGTATTGGCTGGAATATTGAGAATTACTACAACGAACGAAAAAGAAAAGGAATCGTCGTTATCGAAGGGATCTCGTCTCTCGTGGAAGTAAGCGCTATAAATATGACATTCGTCTTTGAGAATGCTCGTTTCGCAGATAAAAATCCAGAAGTCTTTTCCTAGTTTCTTATGAGAAAAAGGATTTGGTAACGATTCTTACATCTATGTTACTTCTAGTTTTTGCCAAAATCTTTTTGATCATAAAAATAACACCTGGAGATTGCTGTAAGGAGGTTCTCCAAGAAAGAGTAATACTAATTCCATGTAAGATTTTGATAGGAAAACATAAGGATCTGAGGATTTTATTAAGAATTGCAAGAATTCAGAATCTTTTCGGCAGAATGATCATTTATATGAATATCAGAGAAGATTCTATCTGTATCTTGTGAGAAAAATATCGAATCGTTGAACAACAAAATATCAAACCTAATCCCTATGTTTTTTAGGAAATCTTAAGGATACATGAGTTTCTGTATGATGAATGTAGATCTGCAGAAGAATCTTCTAAGTATTTGCATAGAGAATGCCGGTGTAATTGTATAAGGCTTTTGGTAAGTTATGTGAAGCTGTTCGAAGAACAACCATGATATACTCTGAGTAAGATCATGAGAACGTTTGGATATAGGAGAAATTGAACAATGTTGAGAGAATTCCACGCGAATCTATTTAATCTGAGGGGACTTCTTCTTTTACAAATGCTGAAAAGATGGATGTCAATCCGAACGGAGTTCTCCAGTGACAAACATTGGAATCTATGGATTTTATGGGCTTTGAAAATCTAAAAATAATGAGCGTCTTCTATGAGGATCATACTATAATCCTTATGTAGTACTTGTTCTGAGAAGTCTTCTGTAAGCTCGCATGTTATGGATATGTTCAGGAGAATCTGAAGAGTAAGTATTTTGAAATGGTTGATATCAGAGTGAAAATGCAGTAGGAACAGTACAGAATGGAGGTGCCTATCTTTGAATTTTATGAGAAAGTTTATAAAGCAATAAATTAATGTGCTACTATTTGATATCAATCGTAGATTCACTTATGTCCAAAAACTTATGTGTATTTAACCCTCGGATGCCAAAGCTAATTTTTGGAGATAATATGAAAACATGTATTCATATTTCTATGATTTTGATTGCTGGACTAATATTCTTGCCCAAGTTAGATTGTTTTCCTCTTCAGTCTTGTAAAGTAATTATTAGAATTATAGTTTTCCTTTATTTAGAACAGTAAATAGAAAAAATTTCCTGAACAAAGTGCTCATCACAAACCGATTCTGGGAGGATTTTCACTGAATTCTTCTGAACATAATGAATATTATAGGCACAAGGGCGGATATATATAATAGAAATCTCGGGACAATAATAATTTTCTCGAAGATTCTGAACAAAGAATATTGAAAATAGACTAGATGCGACGCCATGCACAAAAAGAATGCAAGAGAGAAGGGATATGCATGAGATGTAAAGTAGACGGGAAAGAAAAAAGAGACAGTGAAAATAGATGCATTTCTTGAAAGTTTTTGTCAGATTCAGAATAAAAGATGTCATTGGAAATCTTATTAGATTCTGAGATTAAGAAATATATAAGAACAGAGTAAAGTACTCTGATCTGATTTTATCTGACTAAATAGGATTCATAAACAAAAGAAAGTTATAGCATTACATAATCCAAGTCTTGTCTGCTCTTATTTGATTCTGTGTGATCTATCATGTTCTTTTACTTATTTGAGAATTGTTGATTCAATAGTTTCTATTATGGAGAAATGTACAAAATACACAATGTTGTGTTATGAAAGTCGATGTTTTCTATTATTGTAATCGTAAAATCATTTTTGACTTCACAAATGCTTTGTATAATAGATTAGTCAAGGTACAGCTGTATCTTGGAAATTTTCACATAATAGAGAACGTTTTTTTTCACAAAATATTTCGACAGAAAAAATATCGATGTCCAAATTTTTCTAAAACTATCACAAGATGAAAAATTAAATTTTTCTCTATTATCCTCTACTATACGCTGGAACATATATTTTTGTATTCCGTATTTTTCTATATATATAATATAGAAAATGACATAATATTTGATTTATTTGAACTTATATGCTTATACATATATTTTTATTCTTAGTTTTCTATACTGATATTGATAATATAGGAAGCTTGTTAGCGTAGTCCCTTTGAGGCTGAAATGTGAAACTCACATATATTCTCTAGCCTCATTAAACTAATACAAAATATGTAAAGTGAAAAATCTTTTGTAGACTATAGTTATTTTGTGGGATAATCGAATATCAGAGTAAGAGTGTTTCTAATTTCTGCATTTCGAACAGAAATTTTCTTTTTCTACGGGCACCCTATTTTTTATTTTGCATTGTTACTATTCGCTCCTTATTATTCATTTTTTAAATTTGTTTTTCTTAATTTAACATTCTTATTATTATAATCATTGAATTAATTGCCAAATGCATCTGTTTTACATATCCATTATATCTATAGCAAATCTTACGCACTATTATATATATATATGTTAAGTAACTCAGAAACAATGATCCCAGGTCGAACATGCACGCTCGTAAACGGTCGTTTACGGAGAAAAACGGAGATATACGGAGGTCGTGCACAGCTTCCGTATACGATGCGCGTATACGGAGCGATACGGTGAGAAACGGATTCCGTAAACGGAGATCGTACAAAAATACGGAATGATTAAAAGATAAACATCTGTACTCCGTATACGGAGTTATACGACTGCCGTATACGGTCGTATATCACCGTGCGCGATCGTATCTAGTCGTATACGGCTACCACAAGCTTACAATTCAATGAACAACACGTTTTGTGCAACTCACATATATTTTTCGAAGAAAAATACTGAGTATAAGTTTAAATGCGAGATTTTGAGGCTCATCTTTCCTCATTACAAGCCTTAGCAGCCGTGGTCGAAGGTTAAAGAGCGCTGGACGCAAATTCTGCCATAGTAACCAACATATAACAAGCATCAGACTCCTTTTCCATGATTCCTTAGCAACGGAAAAGGGTGCTGAACGGTATTAACAAACACGGCTCAGATTGTTCTAGAACATTGCAAAGCTTTCCTTGAAATTTAAATGGCTGTACTATGTTTTTGAATGTTATATATAGTACGGTTTCTGATTTTTGCTCAAATTAACGAGTATATGATACATATCAAAGATGGATGATGACTGGTGATATATTGATTTACTACAATCGTCATATGAGCAACACAAAAAGTATTAATTGATCAAATTCTAATTTGAGAGAACCATCAAAACCAGTATTTGATAAGTTTATCAAGGTCCATAGTAGTGGGTTGAGACCTGTCACAGATACATTGAAGATGTACAACGTGCTAATTTCTCAAGTAAATCATTGGTTAGAACAAGAACAAAAATAATAGTAAATTAAGAAAAACGAAATAAAAAAAAGTAAATCACAAGCGAATGACAACAACGCAAATAAATAATGAAGCGCCAGTAAAAAAAATAAAAGAAAAAAATTCTGTTAGAAACGCAGAAATAAATAAGACAGATCGATTCTCTAAGGATCGATTATTCTTGAAAAGCAACTATTATCTGTTAGATATTATTCACTTTGCGTATTTTGTATTACTATGATGAAGCTAAAGAAGATATGAAGCCCATGACAAATCTCAGTAAAATCACCGCTAGAATTCTGCTCCCAATAATATATAAATAGATATATAAAGGTTTGTCTGAAAGTTTTGGTATCTCATAGAAAAATTTCTTTTCTCTCTTATAACAAATAAAAAAGGCTCAAAATTGGGCTAATAGTCAAGCAGTACCAAATGAGTATCAATCTAAATGTTCACAACTATAACTTAAGCTATAGTGAAGATATATAACTTCAAACTAAAAGATTTTTTCCCATCATCTAATTAAGTAACCAGGTGCCCATGATAAACGGTCGTATTTTGTATTTTTTTTCTCAGTTTCTAATATGTTTGTTGCAAAAAAAATATATCAGAAGATGGAGCGTCAAAAGATCTATAATCTACAATAGAAAGCTTATTTTATATATGGTCTTTTAGTATTCAAAATCAGCAGATTTCGAAGTGAGTGAATTCTGATGTTGCGAAAAAGTTATTTTTTATACATGATGAATTCCTTTTTTCTTTATTTTCTCTTTTCATCATTTTCATCCATTTTGAACACTAAAAGATCATATATAAAATAAGCTTTCTATTGTACATTGGAGATATTTTGACGCGCCATCTTCTGATATATTTTTTTCAAGAAACATATTAGAAATTGAGAAAAAAAGGTCGAAAATAAATCTATTTATCATGGACACCGGTTACTTGGTTAGATGGTACGAAAAAAATCTTTTAGTTTGGAGTTACGTCTTCACGATAGCTTGAGTTTTAGTTGTGAATATTTAGAGTGATACTTATCTGATATTGCTTGACTATTAGTTAAATTTTGAGCTTTTTTTGATTTTTTATAAGACAGAGAAGAGAAATTTTTCTGTGAAGTACTAAAATTTTGGATCACCCTTTAAGTAGGTAGATTGAGAAATACATAGATAGTTAGGTAGATAGTTAGATAGATAGTTAGGTAAATAGTTAGGTA